CATGAAAACAACAATATTAAAAGTTACAAATTTAAAGGTTGTTTTGTATGTTTTAAGAACACTTAAACAAAATGTATGTAATGTTTCCAACACTATCATGTTAGAACCATAAAAAAGAACCCAGTGTCATCATTTTTCGCATTTGCCCTTGGACAAAAATAAAATGGTGATTATGGTGGTGTCCTTTGGGCATATCCTTCCCTTGTAAAAATGACAAGAACCATAAAAATATGACATTATTGCAGATAAACTGGCTATTATTTATAAAAGAGGTTTGTGCTCTATAGATATTGGCCACAGTCAAAGTGGTAACACCTGATAACACATGATAACACCTGGTTGAATTCTCAGAATGCTTATGAAAGGGGCTTCAATGCATCTTGTCTCCCCGAGACCATAAAATTGAAAGAAAAAAAAAAAGTGTCCCATTATTTCTTGTAGCACAACATTTAGTGTGAAACATAATAAGTTGCACCCAGACCGAACAAGCATATTCAATATCATCAAACCTCCCCCATCTACAATCCTGTTTGTTTTAGTTTTATCAAAGTATCCATTTTGTGTTTGAATGAAGTTGTGACTCTCCCAGGGCTCACAGCAGAGCTGAGATATTGATATATGTGTTCAGTTCTGTGTTCATGTTGCCACTGGCTTCCACTCATTCTGTTACTCAAAGTGGCCACTCCCTCAAGTACGCATTTAGTATTAGATATGTGTGATATTAAAATATTTCCCCTGCGCTCTTGTCATGAAAGGGGGAATTAGCTATAGAGACTGTTTGTAGAGACTTGTTTGCCATTCGAGGAGCTGTGGTTTGTGGCACACTTTTTTTTGGTCATATCAGCAGTCACACTGCTAAAATTCAACAACCATTTGTCTGAAAACATAAGACTAACAAACAATTTTATGTTCTTGGATTGATGAAATTGTCAAAACAAGAGAGACTTTTGATGCAAGGTTGTGACTCATTAATGGATTAGGGTAGGTTTGTTAGTCTTATGTTTTCCAACCAATGGTTATTGGTTTTTAGCAGAGTGTGACTGCTGATATGACCAAAAAAAATGTGTGCCACAAACCACATCAGCTGAACAAGAAATTCGTCAAAACAAGAGAGACTTTTGATGCAAGGTTTTGACTCATTAATGGAGTAGGGTAAGATGCCATGCCCATTGTCAGGTTTGAATGATGAATGCACTCTGCAGTATGTTCAATATGATGTCTTTGGTTTGTGTACATGTGGCCATATTAACAAACAGTAAACAAGTGATCTGCATACAGCAAGTAGTAAAGGATGTTACAGATTTGACAATTTGCACAAACTGCTATATGTTTCTGTTTCTTGCTCCTCTTCATCGTTCATTCCTGACTTAGCAGTGCTCTGCTTACCAATATAGTCATACTGCTTCACTTTGCTCTAAACAGCTCTCAGTGCACTCTACAGTATGTTCAAGATGATGTCTTTAGTTTGTGTACACCTCACGGCACTAGCTCCAGCCGAGATGTGAGGCATCTGCTGTGCTGCCTGTGTGGAGCTGGCAGCCGGAAGCTGTGATCAGCTGATGGAGGAGGAGCCGCAGGAGAGGTGAGCCATCTTCCCCCGGCAGATTGATTCACTTCGGGAGAGCCTGGCCAAGAAGAATAGAGGATTAATCTGAGGAGCCCGGTGTCATTTGGAGGCAGCGACGACTGGAAGACGACAAGGCAACTGGTGAAAGCCTGAAAGGAAGAGGTCCGGAGGACTCATGAGAATGTTTCCACCAATGCTGACGAAGGAATATACCAGCTTTTAACGTCAGACACAAGAGTCCAATACAAAGAACGGACAACATTGAGCTGGGAGCGGGGATTAATATCGGAATCAGATCCGAATATAGCCTTAAATAAATTCCAGAAGGTAGGTGATTTAGATACACACGGAGTCCTTGCAGTATGAGAGGTGTTGAGCGTCACCAGTACATGTAAACAAACAGCTATACAAGCTAGCTGAAGTTAGCCGATTGAGGGGTTAGCTTTCTACAGCTAGCGTCAGGTAGTAGGACAAAAGCAAACTTAGGACAATCCGAACCGAACCACCCTGGTTTAGGACAGAAACCAATATTTTGTCTCAATGGATTGTTATTAGTGGATGACAGCATTTTCTATAATGTCAGTATGTTGTTATTAGCACAATTAGCATGTAGGCTAACGTCGGCTAAATGGTATTTGCGCTAGCAGTGTAGTATAATATCATTATAACTGGCACAGCAAATGTGCAAACAAAGAAGACATCTGGTATTTTTTGGTGCTACGTGTGCTTTTCACCTCGTTCATTACATCCAACTGAGACAGCGATAAAACACTTGTAGAACTGGTGTAATGCTACTATAGATCATCTGTAGATCCCAGCGTCGTCCAGCTGATTGGCTGAAAACAGGAGGACGTCGGGATGAAGGAAAACAACTTCATGACTTCTTAAAGATCCGATCGCGTCCTTTCCCCGAGTCCGCGTGCATGCACTGCTCGGTGCTGTGTTCATGATCGTAGCCTCACTTCACGAGAGGGACATTTCGTTTTATTCGCGGTCTGTGTAACAGTGACGGTCTTAGCTCGTGTGTCCTCTCAGCGTTAGCAGTCAAACTGAGAGGAGGGTCTGCAAAGAGAGTCACAGCTCAGCCCGGCAGCATGGAGGGGGTAGTTACATCGATCTATTAGTTTAATTTGAATATAGAACAACATCTAAAACATTCGAAAAGTGGCGTGTGGACACTCAGTAATCGCAGCGTAGGTGTTCGGCTCTTCCGTTGGACTATTTAAAGAAGTCCAGTCCTTGTCAGAGTTTGGATCATATAGCCTGTGGGCCCAGGGGGAAGCCTCTTCTCAGCTGTGTTTTGGTTGCCTCTGTCCTCCCCTCCCCCAGTCTTGAGACTCTCGATTCTCTCCGGCTGTCGGACGCTGTTCTCAGGGTTTACACTTGAGTTTTAGACTGAAGAAAAGCACTGGTCTCAAGTCGCAGTCCTCTGGACTCCGGAGCAGTTAAACATTGGATGTAATGGAACTGATGTTCGCCGAGTGGGAGGACGGGGAGAGGTTCTCCTTCGAAGACTCGGACCGGTTCGAAGAAGACTCTCTGTGCTCCTTCATCTCAGAGGCCGAGAGCCTGTGTCAGAACTGGAGAGGATGGAGGAAGCAGTCTGCTGGACCCAACTCCCCTACTGTCAAAATTAAAGGTTGGAGAAGTACTCACACATACACTTCCATTCATTCTGATTTCACTTGAAATAAATCAATGTTTGTCAATTGTGTGAAAGGCTCAGCTAAAATCCATTGCCCAAGAGTTTAAAAGACATTATCATATATAACTGTTACTGGGAAACCTATCATATATTTGATCTTATTGTGAAACATAGTGTTTGTTATTGTGCTTTTGGAGTGATACAGCACAGAAACACATTTTTTAGCTTTGATCAATAATAATAACTAATAAATTATTTATTTGTAGCGGTTTTGCTATTTGGTAATGTTAACCCCGTGGCTGTAGCTGCTTTTATTTACTCTTTTATCCAAAGCCACTTCCAATAAATGAATTTAACCATAAGAGAACAAACCCAATACAGCAAGAATCACAGAAGTACTTTAGCTTTAATAAAGACAAACTGCAAAGTGCTACATGCAAGTGCCATATAAGTACCAGTTGACCATCTTCTTAGCCAAGGTGTAGTCAGAAGAGATGTGTTTTAAGCCTGAAGCAAAAAAAAATTTCAGCTCACTTCAAAAAGTTCAGCACGCCAACTGCTCCATGTAGCTTGGTTGTAGCGATGCTAAAGCATTTACCCCAACAAAGCACCACCCTAATGCATGATTCAGCTGTAGATTAAATAAATATGACACATCAAGTTGGTGTTATCAGGTCTTGACAGAATAGTTTGTCTTGATTGTGAGGTGGACCAGGTCATCTGAAAGGAAGCATCTCACAGAAGTGAGGCAGACCAGAGGTCAATCCAGTACTTCTTTAATCCTGTGGGTTATAAAGTAGCAGTTGTGAGTGAAATACATTGTTGTGTCATGTAAATGTTGCAGCTATATTTCTCAGTTTGTTGATTATGGACCAGAGTAAGTGAGAGGAAATCTGCTGAGTACTGGAACCTGTCTTTGTTCTTGAGGAGTCGTATCGCTTAAACTGCACATTTCACTGCTTGTTCACAGCCATACTGCTAAAGTCTTAGCATCTGCTTCAGTCACCGGCTTCATGTCATACTCTCTCTGTCTGGTGAAGCAAATAGATATTAAAATAGTTATATCTAATATATATATATATATATTCAAAAGACATCTTAGGATGTCTTTTTTTCATCCATGAACGGACATTAGAAATTAGTAGTTAAAATTGGCTAGCCATGAGGACTGGGCAGTTAGGTGTCTCTTCATTACAACAGAAATTCACAGAAATCCTTTTTTAATGGTGAGAGTACCAGTCTTTTACAAAGTATTGCATTCCAGTCTAATTTATATTTATGGGTCAATGTGATAGTTTTGGAGTGTGTTATAAGTTAGTCTCTCAGATTTTATCATGGTTGCCCAGTTTATTCTGAAGGAGTCTCTGAAGGCTGATTTACCATGTTTTGCTGTCAAAGAAGTAAGAAATCCACGCTATTTCTTAGTGTCTCAGGAAAGAAGAACTATGATGCTAGAGGTGACCGCTTAAACCTCTGAGCCACATGAAATAGAAAAATGAAAGAAAGGAACAATACATATGACAACTTGGGTAATAGCAGGTCCATAGCTGACTACTGTTTTCACCCCACTGGACATTGTAGGCACTAGTAGAAAACCCTTGAATTGGAATGGGCATTTTAAGTTTGGAAAGCAGAACTGACTATTTTTCTGTGCCAAGTAGAAGTGATGTATCACCTTCTCAACAGCAGAGAAGAAAAACTCTTGAGGCAGGGTAATGGTTACAAGTATGGTATCGGCAGGTATGCACTGTGTGTTTTCAGCAGGTGAAATGTGTGCTATATTGAAGGAGTTAGCTACTTGTGGCAGTAATTGTTAGTGGTAGCTTCACAACTGACACAAATATCCCAGTTTTATTCATTGATTTACTTAACTTAGAAACCATAGTAAAAGTGGATCTGTCAGTAATTCAAAGTACTAGTGCAATGCCCTTTCTAGACTGCTACATACAGTAGCTACTACAGAATTGTTCCTCACAGAACAAACAGTGCTGCTAATAGATGCAATGTATGAATGGGTGAATGGCAAAACTGTACTGTAAAGTCATTTGAGCGTTCATCAAGACTAGAAAAGCTTTATATATAAATACAAGCATTTACCATTCCTTGACAAGAGTGAATCATCTTCAGAAAGTTCTACAATATACTGTCACCTTTTGTTGTTCGTGCAGATCTTTTTATATACAGACTATGGTGCAGAGTGAAGTTAGAAAACTTAAAGGTTCAGTGTGTAAGATTTAGGTGAAAGGATCTATTGGCAGAAATTGAATATAAAACAATCCTAGTGATGTTTTTACTAGTGTGTTTCATCTAAATTGTAAGAATTGTTTTTTTTCTTTACCCTTGAATGAGCCCTATATATTCAAATATTTTATATTAACCTCGGGAGAGGGTACTCTTTAGGGAGGCCGCCATGCTTTATACAGGAGCCCAGACTGGACAAACTATATCTTTTTTAGTTTTTTATGACAACTGAAGGCTACCACCAGTTCTCTGTCATGTTTGGAAGGGGAGGGTGAGGTGGAGGCTCTTCAGCTGCGACATGAAACTTCACCACTAGATGTCACTAAATTTTACACATTGAGACTTTAAGATTAATCTTTAATGAAGATTTTATAATCAATGCTTTTCATAAAATGAAACCAAATTTGCTATATTACTGTTCATGTATTTGGTTTATATATAATGATTGATTTACTGAAATGCATGTCGGCCATTTCATAGGTCATATAAAGAATCTCGGCAACAAAACAAAACATGCTTTTTTGTTAAAGAATTGCGAAACAGGAAGTGATTCTGTGAATGCTGTTATAATGACAGAGATCTGAATCCATCACAGGTCAGTCCATCTGGGTCTCTGTCGATATGGTGAAATAAAGATCATCTGGTGGTGATTTTGATCTTTGATTTGACCCAGTTGCCGACCGCTGTTTATCTGAGGGACTTAGAAAAAGACTTCAGTCCACAAACTGAAGGCACACTGCCATACACTCACTGACTGCTACAGAGCACTTGTTTTCTGTTTTTAATCAATTTTTATTAAGATTGAAAGTATCTTGTGTCTGAACTGCAACACTTCCTCTAGCAATTTAAAATTGACATACCAAGTTTAAAGCAGGTTAGATTAACCGTTTGTGATGTGAGTTCCACAGACAGAAAGATAGACAGACATTCGTTTGTGGAATTAGTAGGTAGATATTTATATGGTTTTGAAGATCAGCACACAGCTGAGTGGTCAAACTTAACTTACATGCCAGTAAGACAGAGCAGAGGATGATGTAATTATGTCGGCAGTGCACCACAGGTGTACTTCAGCGTACTAATGGAGCACACCCTGTGGAGAGACATGGATGGGGAGAAAATGAGGAAGGCAGTGACAGAGCTAGTGATCCAGGGAAAAGAGTGAGGGGTCCGTAGCTCTTCACTGGGGCAGCTACAAAGGATAAGCTTTTGTAATGATGTCCCTCTGTGCTGAGAGCTGATTTGTTGATAGCTAACTGCCATTCAACTGCAACAGCCAATCATAGGCTGGTCACATGAACACTGTTACTACCCAGCCTCTTCTCTTCAGGGTTTAGCTTTGCACTGTTAGACAGTTATATAATAATGTATCAATCAATCAAATTTTATTTGTATGGGACATATTCACAAATCACAGGCTTAACGAGGTGTGACATCTTCTGTCCTTAACCCTCAACAAGAGTAAGGAAAAACTACCAAAAAACCTATTAACAGGGGGAAGAAACATAGAAACCTCAGAGAGAGAGCCACAAGTGAGGAGGGATCCCTCTCCTAGAACAGACAGAAGTGCAATAGATGCCACATGTATGTACATAAAATAAAAATGTTGTGAGCACATTCATCTGTTTTAAATACACAGATTTTTTATTAGTCAACTTGAAGTTTTACAATACTGTCACAGATTTCAGAGATTTCAGGAAGTGACTCAAATGCAGTCCTAGATATTTCTTAGTTTACTACTCATTATTGAGATTATTTTATAAATTGTCTTTTTTTTGGTATTTTCCAAAGTCAGTACGTATTGTTCAGTGGCTGTTCAGTGAATGGCTGATGTGTGGGCATTGTTCAGACCTGGTATCAACATCCTTTCGAGAGATCCAATCACGAGTGAACTGCTCTAAGTACGTCTGTTCACACATGGCCATAGAGTGCGTCCTCAATGAATCTTCTTTTGTTATTTTGGATCTCACTTCTTTGTTTAATATGCTAATAAACATAATTTCAGTTTTAGTATTATGCAAAACAATACAAATGTGCCTGTTGTCTGTTTGTGTCTGTCTCTCTGTCTATCTGAGAGAGTGAGAGTGTATGCCCTCCTGGGGCAAAACAACATAAGAAAACAATGTATTAAAAACATTAATAAAATGAAATGAACAGTGAATAAAAATAGACAAGGCACAAAGACAATCAAATGGAAAAAGCCTGCTTAAAAAGATGATTTTTTTACATGTGATTTAAAATTAAAGACAGAGTCGGTGTTGTGAATGTCTAGCGGTAGGAAGTTCCAGAGGCAGCGGACAGAGCGGCTGAAGGCTTTAGATCCCATGGTGGTCAAACGGGCGGTACAGTGAGGTGAATGGAAGAAGAAGATCTGAGGTTATGGGAGGGTGTGCCAACGTGCAAGAGTTCAGAAAGGTATGGTGGAGCAAGATTGTGGAGGGCCTTGAAGGTGAGGAGCAGAATCTTAAAAACAATTCAGAATTTGACCGGGAGCCAATGAAGCTGCTGAAGGACACGAGTGATGTGATTGTAGGAGGGGGTTCTGGACAAATTTAAGTTTTTGAAAGCATTTATTAGGGAGCCCAAAGAGAATTACAGTAATCAATATGGGATGTAACCAGGGTATGGACAAGGATGGTGGTGGTGTTGGGTGTGAAGAATGGATGGAGACGATTAATGTTGCATAGGTGAAAGTATGTAGTTAACATTATTGATGTGAGCTTGGAAAGATTGAGTGCTGTCAAGGATGACACCCAGACTCTTAACCTGAGGGGAGGGAGAAACTAAAGAGTTGTCAATATTGAAGGATAGATTGTCTGATTTTGATAAGGTGATTTGGTGCCAATAAGGAGAACTTCGGTTTTATCACTATTGAGTTTTAGGTAATTGCAGGAGAACCAGGACTTGATTTTCCTGTAGGCAGTCAGAGAGGGAAGTTAGAAATAGGACGGAAGTTATTGAAATTGTTGTGGTCTGAACCATGTTTCTTAAGTATAGGAGTTATTGCAGCTGATTTGAAAGATGAGGGAACCAGACCAGAGGTGAGTATGTATGATGACAGTTGTTAGGGAGGCGAGAGAGGGTAGACAGGCTTTATTATGGCATTATGAAACATGTCAAAGGATGTCAGCTGAGAAGGCATCCTTCGGCGATCCCTCATCCTTCAGGAGTAGCCTCATAGTGAAAGCAGAAGTAGCAAAAGTCAGTGGTAGTTGCAGGCTTGAGAATATGTTACTGAGTATAATAAAAAAGGTATATTTTATATTAAGGTTGATTTTATTGGTAACATGTATTTCTTGAATTACTAACATAGTAACTACTTCGGCAATAGAGGGATGTAGCACTGATCATTTTGAGGCTCTAACGTTTCCAATACAAGTAAAGATACTCTACTGCTTTGAGGTAAAACACCAATAACAGGACTGCGTAAAGAACCCACTGTAACATGTAGAGCTTCAACCAATTAACCATTAATTTCAATGGATCAAGTCAATCAACAAATTTGATAAATCACTACAGTTCTAGTAACGTATGTCATTTAATATGTGTGTGCACAAAGCAATTGAAGATAATTTATTCAATTTTGTATTTAGTTCATATTGTCAGCAGAAATGTAACTAAAACATGTATACAAGTATATAAACAAATATTGTGGTGAGTGATATATGTAGGATAGGATAGTTTTGCTTGCAACTCTTAAAAGTTTAATCTGTCACAAGTTGTTGGAAGAGTTAATCTACTGACTGCAGAAGTAGCTGCTGTAGAGCTGTCCGTCCCTCTGTCTGCTCACAGGAGTCTGCTCTGTCAAGACCACTGAGATAGTGCTGAAGGAAGGGGGCACATTTCTGCATGAACTCCTTTTGTATTCTGCAACAAATGAATTTGCCATCATGAGGTTACTTAAAGCAAGCACCTGCTTTTTGTTACATTACAGTTTAGCTCACTGATTGTACACACATATAACATGTGAGTGATGCCTTGATAGGTTTCCCATGACCTGTAACCACCAGCCCCTGAGCCTCTATGCCAATGATGGCATTACATGAACACAGCTCTTTCCTCCATATATGGTAAACAGCAGCACAAGTAGTGGCTTGGAAATGGGGTCTGTAATCTGAGACCCTTTCACTTTTTCTTCTCTTAGTGGCAGACCACTAAATCCTACAACTCACTCGGTCCTGTGATTGTGCTTATGCTGCTTTTTTAACACACACACACACACACACACACACACACACACACACACTCTATCAGCACAATAAAAACAGTTTGAAGGCTTTGGAACTACATACCCAGACATCATTCTTTCATTATCAACAAAAATGGATCATGTTGAAATCAGTTCTTGACAGAACTATACTAACAGACTCTCAATCTAGTTTGTGAAAAAAGCCACATTGTGAGCAGAGTGATGCTCAACCAATAAAAAATCAGCTGAGAAGTAGAACAGCAGAATAGGCTGAGGCCCAGATCACAAATTGTCCTTATAAAATTCATTATTCTCCCGTAGTGGAGGATGCATCATGTGATCACAGCTAATAGATCCACATATATTCACTCAGTTCTTAGGCATATTGATACATAGATATTCCATTCTCCTTAGCAAGCTGTCTGTCAGTGGCAGAAATCTTGGGTGCAGAGTTTATATTTTGGTGTGGGTTGGTGGCACATGTAGTAGCCAAAATAGAAAGAGCTTAACCTCTGAAACTGTTCGTTTAGTTAAACTCTTACATTAAAAAGCTGCTCTTTAGATTAAAAACATTCTTGCTGCAGCTGTAAATTTTGTTTTTGCTAACCTCCAGTGGTCGCTGTCACTACTAGGGCTGTTGGAGCGAATTACGGGAATTGATTATTTAAAAATCTATACTAATGAATATTATAATTACTATTCAGATGTGTATTTTTATTTGTCTACTATGGCTTGTGCGTGTGTTATCCACACATGGAGTGTACCTGCTGCAGTGAAACATACACGCACACACACAGAGGAAAAGAGAGCATGTACCAGAAAACTGCCCTTCTGATGATTTCATGTCTCTGTTACATTTTCTACAGATATTCGAACTCTTGTGAAAGGTGTATTTTTGCTTATTTACTGTGAACCGATCATGGCTCTTGGAGCAACTAGACAAGACCCAAAACCTCAAGAGAAGCAGCCTGTCTCAGGCACATCTAATTATACACAACTTCATTAAAAGATTTAGAATAAAAAAGATAAGATAAAATAATTGCATTAGAATGGGATTCTAGTGGAAGATTGACAGCCCTAGTCAGTACATGGTAATGTCCTTAATTTTTCATGTTAGAGGTGGAGGAGTACAGTACTGATCTCACTCAACCACATCAAGCAGTGATACTGGCTCTGAGCTGAGATGTCAATGTGTAGTTACTCTTTAATCTGTCCTTCCAGGAAGATAAGGTTATTCAACCTGCAGCTTTCTTTAATGTGGCTGTGCGAAAGAACCGAAATGAACACCCTACCTTCAGTATTTCCTCTCTCGTCCAGCTAATCTTCCTCTCTTCCTCAGATGGTCAGGTGATTCCACTGGTAGAGCTGTCAGCAAAGCAGGTAGCATTCCACATCCCGTTTGAGGTGGTGGAGAAGGTCTACCCCCCTGTCCCAGAACAGCTCCAGCTTCGCATTGCCTACTGGAGCTTCCCTGAAAATGAGGAAGACATCAGGTAAGATTACTGATAACCTGGATATTTCTTTCTCACCTCTGATTAAGTATATGATAGCAGTCCTATGAACAGCTGCAACAATACTGTTTTCACAATAGCTTTGACCTGTACGTTAGGTGCTTATTATTACCTTACAGTGTAGTAAGTCACAGCTACATTTCTTAAAGTTGCAACTAAAATATGGAATGCTTAAAATATAAATTATCCGAAGCTCTTCTTTCATTGTCTGTCTTGTTAATTAGGCTGCTCAGAGGTTACATTGGACATAATGATATTAATGTTGATGAGTAGCAGCACCTAACTAATCCATGCATTATAAGAAGTGGTCTTTATGGTCCCTGGAAAAGTCTCGCTGAATCAGTTCTATGAATTTCTTCAGTTCTACACTGAATTTTTGTATATATAATGACTTCCTAAAGAGGTGGAGTGAAAAGGTGGTGCTTGACGAGTTTTTTGAAGATTCGAGAGATTCAGCGTTGCGTATACATATATACACTCACCGGCCACTTTATTAGGTACACCTTGCTAGTACATGGGCTGGAACCCTTTTTGCTTTCAGAACTGCCTTGATTCTTCATAGCATAGATTCAATAAGGTGTTGGAAACATTCCTCACACATTTTGGTGCATATTGACATGATAGCATCATGCAGTTGCTGCAGATTAGTCGGCTGCATGATGCGAATCTCCCGTTCCACCACATCCAGAGGTGCTTTATTGAATTGAGATCTGGTGACTGTGGAGGCCATTGGAGTACAGTGAACTCATTGTCATGTTCAAGAAACCAGTTTGAGATGATGTGAGCTTTGTGACATGTTGCATTATCCTGCTGGAAGTAGCCATCAGAAGATGGGTACACTGTGGTCATAAAGGGATGGACATGGTTAGCAACAATACTCAGGTATGCTGTGGCATTAAAACGATGCTCAATTGGTACTAAGGGGCCCAAAGTGTGCCACGAAAATATCCCCCACGCCATTACACCAACAGAAGCCTGAACCGTTGATACAAGGCAGGATGGATCCATGCTTTCATGTTGTTTACACCAAATTCTGACCCTACCATCTGAATGTCTCAGCTGAAATTGAGACTCATCAGACCAGGCAACATTTTTCCAATCTTCTATTGTCCAGTTTTGGTGAGCCTGTGCGAATTGTAACCTCAGTTTCTTGTTCTTAGCTGACAGGAGTGGCACCTGGTTTGGTCTTCTGCTGCTGTAGCCCATCTGCTTCAATGTTCAACGTGTTGTGCGTTCAGAGATGGTATTCTGCATACCTTGTAGGGCTGTCAAAATTGCTCCAAAATGACGTTCGAATATTCTCTCTAAAAAAACACAGGTTTGAACCATTTGGATATATGCGCATGCGCAATGCCATACGTTGTGTCAATAACAGGAGGTCAAACTAAAACAACGAGACATAACTACTTGTATAGGTATTTTTATTCAGTTTTAACATAAAACAAACCTACACATTACAAAATAAGTAAATGAACTAACCGTAAAACTTAGACTGTAAAAAAAGTCAGCTCTCTCGTTCGCCCCCCTCTCTCTCTCTATGCACAATGCGCATAATGATTTAAATAAACAATTTGTTAACAACGGTCGGTAATAACGGGTCTCTGTGGGTTATGTGAGCTGAAGGTAGTGGGAGTTTAGGGGGCACGTCAGCCAGAGCTGTAGTGGGTGTGTATGTGAGTGAGTGAGACTGCTGCCTGCTGAACAGAGGGTCGCAGGGAGAAGGATTTGAAGTGCCCTTGTTTCGGCTACAAAACCCCGCCGAACCAATCCGAAACCAGCCCAAATTTTTATCCACCCGCCTGACAACCCTGGTCGTGTCTCACTTTCAGCAGTGAGTGACGCTGTGCAAGTGCAACTCCTGTGGCCTGTCCCGTCATGCAGTGCGCCCACTCGCAAAGCAGCCGCTGATGTGTTTTTTTCCACAGTCGAATATTAATGTCACAATCGAATATCCGTTTTTAATAATATTTGAATATATATATTCGAATTTAGAATATTCGTTGACAGCCCTAATACCTTGGTTGTAACGAGTGGTTATTTGAGTTTGACTGTTGCCTTTCTATCATCTCGAACCACTCTGCCCATTCTCCTCTGACCTCTGACATCAACAAGGCATTTTCGTCCACACAACAGCTGCTCACTGGATATTTTCTCTTTTCCGGACCATTCTCTGTAAACCCTAGAGAAGGTTGTGCGTGAAAATCCCAGTAGATCAGCAGTTTTTGAAATACTCAGATCAGCCCGTCTGGCACCAACAACCATGCCACATTCAAAGTCACTTAAATCCCCTTTCTTCCCCATTCTGATGCTCAGTTTGAACTTCAGCAAGTTGTCATCACCACGTCTAGATGACTAAATGCATTGAGTTGCTGCCATGTGATTAGCTATTTGTACTAACTAGCAATTGAACAGGTGTGCCTCATAAAGTGGCCGGTGATTGTATATATGTATATATATATGTATATAAAATACTTTTTTCTACGAGGACATATACATCTGTCCTGGGTTTAGAAATTAGACATGATGAATAAACCGGGCTCACCAGTGTAAAAACACTTGTGATTCTATCGCTTTGCTTTTCCTTTCTCAGGTTATATTCCTGTCTGGCTAATGGGAGTCCAGATGAATTCCAACGTGGAGAGCAACTCTACAGGATCAGAGCAGTCAAAGACCCCCTGCAGATCGGTGGGTTGAGTATTCACTCTTACCATACATAGGATCTTTTCATTTCTGTTACTTTTCAAACTGTAACTTTAAACTTAATAGTTTATATTACGTTATTATGGCATACAACACAACTAGGCTTAAACTTATAATAACACTCATGTCCACTCTGTCTATAAATCAGCCATCTGTACATCAGAGATTCATTCAAAAGCAGCACCTTTAAGTTATAAAATACACTAAATACAGTGTAGAACTAATATACTAATGTTGTTATTTCTTTGTTCAGCCTGTTCCATGACACTTCTTCAATTCTGTGTTTGTACATGTACATCAGGCTTCCATCTCAGTGCTACAGTAGTTTCCAGTCAGGCCGGTCAGTCTAAGGGAGCATACAATGTGGCAGTCATGTTTGATCGCTGCCGCATCACTTCCTGTAGCTGCACCTGCGGCGCGGGGGCCAAATGGTGTGCCCATGTGGTGGCACTGTGCCTGTTCCGGATCCATAATGTGAGTTTGCGTCTACACAAAGGAATCCCTCAAACTGTCTATTATTTTAATTAAATCAAATGATCTCACTTCAACTGTATGAAAGGCACTCTTTTGTAAAATAAATATTTAATGCACTAATGAACAATGAAAGTAAAAGACTGTCGCAGTCCCACAAGGGGGTTTGCCCTCTGATTGACCTGAGCCTGAGATACTTTCTGTATGCTTTGCCTTAGAGTGTGAAATTTGTCCTTTATTTTGAAGAGCACCCATATCTCCCCATAAAGTTTGTATGGCCGAGATGCTGATTAGCAATAGGACTCTTCAGTCTATTTTTCATTAAGAAACTCAAAAACTATAAGAAAAACATATCAAAATCAATAAATGTACATTATGTAAATATGGGTCATATGTTGGAGTGCTACATACTTACCTTGTGTGTGTGTGTGTGTGTGTGTGTGGGTAGGCATCAGCAGTTTGTCTGAGGGCTCCAGTCTCTGAGTCTCTGTCAAGGCTGCAGAGGGACCAGCTGCAAAAGTTTGCCCAGTACCTCATCAGTGAGCTGCCTCAGCAGGTAAAATCCTCTTTCTGAACCAAGCTGTTGATGAAAATTCAATAAATACAGAATCTATGAATGTTATATAACTGTCAAGGAAGTTTGATTTTCTTTAATTTTTGCATCTTCAGATCCTGCCCACAGCCCAACGGCTACTTGATGAGTTGCTCTCTTCTCAGTCTACTGCCATCAACACAGTGTGTGGAGCTCCAGGTACAGTAGCAGTTTGATTCCGGCATACTGAGAGAACTGACATGATAAACAACTTTACAACTAGAGGGGAACTATTGATGATTTTATTCAAGTGGATAAGTTTCAGACAATATTATTAGATGTTGCTACAGCTAGATGGCAGTGATGTTTACTGTATGGTGTGGAGTGTGGATAGAAAAGTCCTTTAAAAAAAAAAGATAACAATATGTGTGTTTGTGTGCATATAGACCCGACAGCAGGACCCTCAGCTTCTGACCAGAGCACATGGTATTTGGATGAGTCAACTCTCAGTGACAACATCAAAAAGACTCTGCACAAGTTCTGTGGGCCTTCACCTGTTGTCTTCAGGTACCCACTACTTGACTCACATAATACTCCCTAACACATCACCCATAGAGCTATACTTAACGTCAGACCTAAACTCGAACCCTGAGTAAATATGCATGTCTCTGGAGACAGAAATAAAGATTATGATAATGCAGGTTGTAATGACTGTAAAATCCCCAGCGCCTAAAGGTATACTTTTATCCTAATAAAGTTTACACAAAGCATAATATAGTGTGTTTAGTGTGCCAAAGAGCTCCAGTGTTGTCCAAAAACTACTTAAAATACAAAAATAGCAATTACCCTTACACTCTTCTTTTAATATTTTGCACTATGAGACAAAGTGTGATTTGTGGATATGGGCTAAACAAATAAAATTTGATTGATTGATTGATTTTGACCTGCATTGTTTAATTTACCTCTTTATTTTGTGTATTGTATTCACAGTGATGTAAACTCCATGTATTTGTCCTCCACGGAGCCGCCAGCTGCTGCTGAGTGGGCATGTCTGCTGCGACCTCTGAGGGGCAGAGAGCCAGAAGGCATTTGGAACCTTTTATCCATTGTCAGGGAGATGTTCAAGAGACGAGACAGCAATGCAGCTCCACTGCTGGAGATTCTCACTGAGCAGTGCCTCACTTACGAACAGGTACATCCTCAATGTGACATGAGCTCTTGCTGCTGAAAGTAAAACACTGGAAAGATTTAGAGTCAGCAGACATGCAGGTTGCTCTTAATGTAGAAGTTGACAGCACTCTGGAAAGTACCAAGCACATTTCGAATAATGCTCAGATTGAGAATTGTTAAATTGAGGTTAAATCTTAAAATCTCAAGGCTGTAAGAAAATATTGAATACAGACTAATCCAGAGATATCAAAATAACCCTTTTCCTGCTGATTTTAATTTGAGTTATTAACATTCTGTCTTTACATGTTACTCTCACCATCATCCACCTCATCTGTGCATGTACCATACACTCATATGAATTGGGGAGGCTCAGCTCTGGCTCAGCTGGTAGAGCAAGTCATCTACTAGTCAGGACTCCCCTTAGTTAAGCAGAAATTTAACCTGAAAGTAGCGGGTAGAGGGTGACAGGAGAGTTTGACAAGAGGAGAAAGATTAATTAACTTGTTTTTTGTCACATCTAAATAGATTTAGGGGCCCACAACCTGAGTTATACCCAGAACGCACACACGCACACACACACACAAACACACACACACACACACACACACACACCACTCACTGAATTGTCTGACTTGTGTGTTCAGATCATCAGCTGGTGGTACAGTGTTCGAACATCAGCGTCCCACAGCAGTGCCAGTGGTCACACTGGGCGCAGCAATGGCCAGTCAGAGGTGGCAGCTCATGCCTGTGCCAGCATGTGTGATGAGATGGTGGTGCTCTGGAGGCTCGCTGTGCTTGACCCAACGATGAGCCCTTGCAGGTCAGACCATTAGGCCACTGACACCAGGCTACACACTTCCTTTGTACTTTTTAAACTGTCACAGAATTTGGTCAAGAAATAGAGATCCCATTGGAAAATAATGCAATATCAGCACATTTGTAATTTATTGATCACATTCTTTTTTTATGATCGTAGTAAATATTAATTATGGACTCCAATCAATAATTAAGGCTGTGTATGTTCTACTCTAGGCGTCTGGAACTGGCAGGCCAGCTTAAGCAGTGGCATCTAAAGGTTATTGAAATTGTGAAGCGGGGGCAACATCGCAAGTCCCTGGATAAACTGTTCCAAGGCTTCAAGTCTGCTGTAGAGTCCTGCTACTTTAACTGGGAAGTGGCCTACCCACTGGATGGAATAACCTACTGCAGTGCAGATAAGAAGAGCGCCACATTTTGCTGGTCTAGGGCAGTGCAGCACCAGAGAGGAGTCAAAGCTGCCGCAGGAGGGGTTGGAGAACCTCCTGAACCAGGGGGAGGGGGCAGAGCTGACGGTGGAGCTTTGGGAGATTATAAGGGAAGAGGGGGTGGTCACTTGTCTCAACAAGAATTGGCAGTTCGACCCAAAGAGACCATTCTAACCAAGAGGAAGGGTCTGTCAGTGAGTGGAGGGGGAGGGATGCTGGTCCGTTTGGGAGGGAGTGTTTCTCTTTCCCTGGAAGACGGAGGTGGAAAGTGCATGTACAAAGGTCCAGGCTCCTCCTCCTCTGGAGGGAAGCTGAAACTGACACAGGGAGGTGGAAAGGGGGCATCAGTAGGAGGACCTGGAGGAAGTGGAGGGTTAGGAGGGGGAAAGCATGCCAGTGCCAAGCGGAGAACCAGCAGTGAGGACAGCTCCCTGGAGCCAGACTTGGCTGAGCTCAGCCTGGATGATGGCTGTAGTCTGGCTCTGGGGGCTGAGGCCAGCAACACTTTTGAGTTTCTCCCCCCAGCACCAGAAATGCTGCCGTCTCCAAGCCCACTGCTCAGAGACTCACGCATTTACAGCAGCACCAACGGAGGAAACAAGATGTTTGAAACAAAACGTGTTGGCCTTAACTCTGCGGCACTTCCTGTTGCAGAGACAGCTCCACCCTGCTTCCCTTCCAAAGAGACAGTGGTAGTTGTTATGGACACGCCCAGTGCTGCAGAAAAGGAATCAGAGCTAAAGGAGGAATCTGTCCAGAACAGAGATGAAGATGTAGACTCAGCGGGCAGTAATCAACCCTCTACCTCCACCACTACAACGAAATCAGGCACAACTCAAACATCAGCCAAGGCCCAGCGGGACCACAGAGATGCAGTGTCTGTTGGAGCAGCAGCAGCAGGAGCAGGGAGCGGGACAGCAGCTGCAGGTGGACCAGCTAACCAAGGAGCAGAGGTACCAGGTGCAGCTGCTGGAGGAGAACCTGTGGGTGAGGATGACTATCAGGCATACTATCTGAGTGCTGCCTCAGAAGAGGGAGCAGACAGACAGCTGACTGACAACCATCAGGAGGAGGAGCCAGACATCTTTGCAGGAATCAAACCGCTGGAGCAGGAGGGACGCATGGAGGTAAGGAAGGAAGACATGAAGTAATGCACTAGTTAAATTGTTAACAGGTGGGATTACAGATATGGATGTAGACATTTCAATACATTGGTTCTTAACCAATTAAGCTTGCACTTAAAGGGTTTTCCTCTTAGAACTAAGTGGTCATTCAGACTAGAAAAGTGCAATAGATGTGAACATAAAATATGTTTTCTGATTATATTAACTATGGATACCACCGCTTCACACACAATCATCAAAACTGAAATTACCTAAAGAAGATTAATAATTTTAACTAAGTAATTTGTTACATTGCTCTTACATTAGTGTTCTCCAATGGGCATGATTTTTGGCAACATATCAATACTGTTTGAGTGGTGCAATCCAGTGTTGATGTGGGCAGGCACCAATAAAGACCAACATTACTTGTCATCCAACCATTCCCCCATGAATGTACACAAACCACACAATACAGAATGCTGAGGTCACAGGTCTGTTGGTGAAATGTGACTTTTGAGTCTGGTCACTTGCCACAACACATTAGAAGAATTTAGGCCTCCCCATCTTATTAGCATGGCACTCTCTCACTTCAGTAATTTTAAGGCAGTTGCTACCCTTTAGTTCTGTTACCTCTTCTTACAGGAAAGCTTGAGAGTCGAGCATTATATAAGACATTTGGCATGATTAACAAAACTTCTCAATAAAGATCCAAGTTGTAAAAAGTGCATAAAGTGGACAATTTTTAATTTTTTACATGAAAGGATGTTTCCTTGAGACATGAGCTACTTAGTAGAGTATGGAATACTTATTGCAGATCTACAAGCAAAGTGAAGACTGCTCTTCTTCCTGACCTGAATTCTTTCTCTCTCTCTCTCTCTCTCTCTCTCTCTCTCTCTCTCTCTCTCTCTCTCTCCCTCCCTCTCCGTCTCCGTCTCCCTCTCTGCAGGTGCTGTTTGCATGTGCCGAGGCCCTATATGCTCATGGTTACAGTAATGAGGCCTGCCGGCTGGCTGTGGAGCTGGCCAGAGACCTGTTAGCCAACCCTCCAGACCTGAAAGTGGAGCAGCCACAGACTAAGGTAGATACAGTCACATGTCCCAGCAGTGTGGATCACATTCTCTATGACCTTTGAACTCACTTTTCTCCTTCCACTGTACAGTCTTAATCCTCAGTCAGCATCTTGAACTGTGTAGTGATATATTGAGTCTTTCTTAGTGAAGGAAAGGCACCAGTATCTGTTTTTATTGGAATATGTAAGTAAATATTTACTATAAAGAAAGTTTTTTCAAGGTGTGAACCCACTAATCAGAATTTTGTTTTTGTTGGATCAAGGGTAAGAAGAGCAAGGTGTCGACCAGCCGTCAGACGCAGATAGCCACCAACACACTGTCGAAAACTTCCTTCCTCCTCACTGTTCTCAGTGAACGACTGGAGCTCCACAACCTGGCCTTCAGCACCGGCATGTTCTCCCTGGAGCTCCAGAGACCACCGGCTTCTACCAAAGCTCTGGAGGTTTGATCTGTCATCAACTGAATAACTCGTTTTTAATGCGTTCAGTATCATCTAATGACTTCCTGTTAATGCATAAGTGTTCATGAATGTTATTAAAATCATGAATTTGAGCTTTGTAAGGCGGGATCTGCTGGCTGCTGTACAGGGATTGGTCATTTGCTGAGGGGGTTTATGACCTCAGAAACATCATGAGCCAGGATCAATAATTTACTGTCATTTTATGTAGAGATTTAACCAACAATTAATAATCTAATATCAATTAATTGGCCGACTACTTTTAAATAATTGTTAGCTTATTAAATGTCCAAAACAATTTGAAAGAAAGTTAATTGCCGAAAATGCCATGTAATCATGGCATACAGGCTATAGCATCATGTACTGTGCATGATGACATGGCCAATTTTTATGGAATTCTGGACCCACAACCTGAATCATATCTGCAATAAACAATAATGGTGAGCTTGGCAGACTGCAGGCAAACTCAAGCCAATTCTCCAGATTTTTCCCACCGATCATGTCTGAAAACGGCTCGGTTGCGCTGGCCTCACGAAACATGTTTTTGGCCTGTTGAACATGTCATTTCAAGTCTCCTCATAGAGAATTTCTTCACATTTTCACCACTTGTCATGGTGACCTCATATTATGAATTATGTGATGTACAGTTTATACGTAGTATATCCAATCAATTAGTATTCACTGTGAAAGCATGAAATTGTAGCACAATGCGTGTGTGTGTGCTGACCAGGTGAAGCTGGCATACCAGGAGTCGGAGGTGGTGGCTCTATTGAAGAAGATTCCTCTGGGCCTGGTGGAGATGTCGGTGATCAGAGAGAGAGCAGAGCAGCTCAGAGACGGAAACTTCTGTGATTACAGACCTGTGCTGCCTCTCATGTTGGCCAGCTTCATCTTTGATGTACTGTGTACCCCAGGTAAGCACCAATTATTGTCTGATTTAGTTTTTCCTTGTTTGATTTAAATATACATAATTTTATTCTTGTAATATCCAAAGACATCTAATCTTCTCTTTGTAGATTATGTTGAGGAAGATTTAAACATCTTAAATTCAAATATAGCTGCTGTCTTAATTACCTAATGTGTGCTAGTGTAGTCAGTTGGTTACATAGATAGTAGTTTAGTATATTGCAGGCGTTATTTTGAACCAGTGACAAATAAGAAATATTGTTTTATTCCTTAGGCCTAAATTAAGACATTTTAAATGGATATATCAATTAACATATCTTTTACTCTTCTCCATATTGTTTGTGCAGTCGTGTCCCCAACAGGTTCCCGTCCACCTAGTCGCAACCGTAACAATGAGATGCCAGGTGATGAGGAGCTGGGCTTTGAGGCTGCTGTTGCTGCACTTGGTAAAAATACAATTTTATTTCTTTCAGTTCTGTCTGGATTAGATTTTCTTTCTCAGTGTCTTTTTCCTCCTTTCCCACATCCCCTATCCTTGTCTGTACTGTACTTTGTCCATGTCTTCGTCTGCACTGGGCCTTATCCTGTCTCCCCTAGCACTTAGTACTGTAATCCTTCTTGTCTATGTTTGTCTGCAGGTATGAAGACCACAGTCAGTGAGGCAGAGCATCCTCTATTATGTGAAGGAACTAGACGAGTGAAAGGTGACTTGGCTCTGGCTCTCATGATCACTTACAAGGATGACCAGAGCAAGCTTAAGAAGGTAACCATCACTACTTTAATCATTCTGAACATCTGTTATTGTTATTGAAAATATTTCATGTATTACTGCTGTGACTGAAAACTGAGATGTTTTCTGCCAGTAAGCCAAACAGAGAAAAACATTTTCAGAGGTTTCCCTTCCTTATTGTAGTGGTGTACTGGAGATGTATTTAACAGTAATGACACATCATGATGATCATGGTTTTTGTCTTTGGCCACAGTGCAAACGTGCACATACAACAAACATGAGATAGTCCACACACTATCCAACACTCCCCCTGTATGTTTCTCACTAAGAATACAAATATAAATAAATATAAATAAAAACAGTAACTGAGGAATTCTATCTCACCACTCTTGAGGTCTTGTACACGTGCCCTCTCTAACCCCTTTTTCCTGTTTCTCCCTCTCCTCCGTCTCTCCTCCCATTTGCAGATACTGGATAAGTTGTTGGACAGGGAGAGTCAGACCCACAAGCCTCAGACTTTAAGCTCATTCTACTCCAGCAAACCAGCAGCTGGTAGCCAGCGCAGCCCATCCAAACACACTGCTTCTGGCCACAGTGGAGTGAGCGGAGCCACAGGGGGTGCATCTAAACATGCCCCCTCATCTTCCTCTGCGACCACTGTGGCAGCCTCTTCCTCCAGCTCTACGTCTGCTGTGACACTAGCTGGAGAAGAGGTGCCTCATCAGGCAGAACTCAACACTGTTCCGAGCAGTGCAGCAGGGGAGAGTACTGCTGAGACCCGGGAGCATGGTGAGAACACCCTTGACCACTACTTTAGGTTCCAGAATCAAGAGCTTTATGTTTTAATTAGTTATTGAACATCTATGTTATACAGTCATAGGTCTCTGTTAGTTGTATACATAGTGTGGCAGTACTACAGTATACATTTCAACACAACATTTTTGGAAATCCTTTTAGTGTAAGTGGGGCTCCTGACATGGTCTGAAAACCAATTCTTGTGCTTCCATGTATTATGGAAGTCACAATAAGGTAACACAGTTGTCTTTTACAGAGATAGACCTGTGTTTGTTTTCTGTCCTTACAGTATCAGATGGGCCTCCTCCATCGAATGACCAGCAGGGTGAAACAGCTCCGTTTAAGCTGGAGGCCACCGTGCCCAGTCGGTTGGCACTTGGGGCGCGCTGTGGTTACAGCCAACGCTGCTGGGGTTCACCAGTCCGTCAGAAGAAGAAACACACTGGTACACATTATATATATATATATATATCTGTATTTTTTAGCCTTCTAGCTGGTAGAGCATTAAAGAAAAGAAAGAATTGAAACTGTCACTAGGATCAGACTGGCAGTGACGCTTTTAACCTGGGTCATATATGTGGTATTTCTCCACATACAGTTTATACATTATATCCCACATACTGAAAAAGCCTCATCAACATTAATGTGAATTAACATGATTTTATGTGCATGGTTTTTGCTCAGGCATGGCGAGTATTGATAGCAGTGCTCCAGAGACGACCTCAGACAGTTCCCCCACGCTTAGCCGCAGACCGCTCCGGGGCGGCTGGGCAGCAACATCTTGGGGGCGGGGCCAGGACAGTGACAGCATCAGCAGTTCGTCATCTGATTCATTGGGCTCTTCCTCCTCCAGTGGCTCTCGTAGGGCCGGGGGTGGAGCCAGGGCCAAGAGCAATGACACCAGCAGGTAAGCACACACTTCTTCCTCATCAGGTCACAAGTAATAGCACATTACTAGGGTCACAGGGACAACCTTTAACAATAATTGTGTAAAACAATGATGTCTGTTAAAGGCGGTTGTGACTTATTCCTTATCAGTTGTAAACAGTAAAGATAACTTTAGTTGTGTTCACTGTTTTATTGACTTGTTAGGACTCATAAGAATAGAATAGAATAGAAGAAACTTTATTGTCGTTAAGGTGCAGCTCCAGAAAGTGTTTCAAAGGATAGTTGATCCACCACCAAAGAAGCCCAAAAGTAATATTTACATTCACATTAGTGCAGTGCACCCACACACGCAAACACACACACACACCAATAAATAAACAGCCAGCTAGGATATGCAGGAAGGAAATGAAAACAGGCCCTACAGTGCAAACGAGAGTAGAACTGATGCATGAAGAAGAATAAATAGACAGCAGCTTAAAAATGGAACGTGCAAATATGAATCAAACAGATCCTACAGTGCAAATAGAAAATGGATGATCATTTATACTCGCATTCAGTGCACTCAAGGTATATACACACAGCTATACACACACACAGTAACCTAGTAAGAGTTGTCACTGATGTTGTGGGAATGGTTCATGGGAAACAAGCAGGTTTTTCTGATGACTATACTGTTTTACTTTTCCCTGTGATCAGGTACAAAGGACGACGCCCAGAGTGCCACGCCCCCCATGTGCCCAACCAGCCATCGGAGGCAGCAGCTCATTTTTACTTTGAACTCGCCAAGACAGTTCTGATCAAAGCTGGAGGAAACTCTTCCACTTCCATTTTCACCCAACCCTCAGCCAGTGGTGGCCACCAGGGGCCCCATAGGAACCTGCACCTGTGTGCCTTTGAGATTGGCCTGTATGCGCTTGGCCTCCACAACTTTGTCTCACCCAACTGGCTGTCCAGGACCTACTCCTCACATGTGTCTTGGATAACTGGTGAGTGAGTGAGTTGAGTTGAGTGAGTGAGCGAGTGAGAGAGAGAGAGAGTAAAAAAATATGGAGATAGACAGAAACAAGAAGACCAAGATTTTCTGATCCAGTGTGTTTTCATCTCTCAGGCCAGGCCATGGAGATTGGTAGTGCTGCTCTCAATATTTTGGTGGAGTGCTGGGATGGTCATCTTACCCCTCCAGAGGTGGCATCCCTAGCAGACCGAGCATCGCGGGCCAGGGACCTCAACATGGTTCGTGCAGCAGCGGAGCTGGCCCTAAGCTGCTTGCCACACGCTCATGCCCTAAATCCTAATGAAATACAGAGAGCCCTGGTGCAATGCAAAGAGCAGGTAATGTGGGAGTGGGTTAATGGTAAATTAACTGTATTTACTGTATAAAGCATTAAATCCACCCTTATTGACCACCCAAAACACTTTACACACACACACACACACACACACACACACACACACACACACA